ACCAGTTGAAGACCTGTATTCATTGCTCAAATTTTATAAAGAAAAAAAATTAGCAGCGTGTTGTTCCAGGAATATTTCGCTTTGTTGCTACTAGAGTTCGGAGGGAATGCTGGATCACAAAATTTTCCCTCAAGTTAGGATAGTCGTTTTCATCTACAACAGCGAGCTAATTTGTTTGTGCTGTCAAACTATAACACTGAGAAAGATTTTTGTCAGCCTTCTGCGTGATATCGACATATAACATCGCATGGATTACACCTACCAGGTTTCCTGATGGAGCTCGACAGATATGCTGTTTTCCACTCTTTCTTTTCTCCTGGCCTTCCCTTATGGTTATCATCTTTTCTGGGGTATATTCTTGAAAATCGCATCGCCTACTCCACACCCAGCAGCCGAGATAGAGGTTTTAATACCAGTTTAAATATATGGTAGTCGCCGCTGACCTAGGGAATCGGGGAGAAATACCGCCCCTCTCTTTTTAAGAAGACCCAGATAGTATGAACTATGAAATCTTAGGAGTTTATGAATATTACCTTCATGGTGTTTCTTAACCATAAAATATGCGTCGGCTCTTGCAAAGAGGGAATTATCTCCGGCAAAATTACTGCACTCACATGGTTCAAATGAAACAACTAGTTTTAATCAAGACGCCATTACGTCAAAGAAGTAATGTTTGTTCATAGATATACTCGTTGTTGTGGACTCAGTTACTGATGGGCTGTTTGATGAACTAGCTCTGCTTCAAACTATTTCTCCACGAAGATTGAAGGTGACAAACTCTCTTTGCAACAAGTCAACTCAACTATTCATCATTATCCTTTCCACCTTTCAGATCTACTTTGTTCTGGTTGAAACCTATACCACATTTGTCGACATCATCTTCCAACGATTCAACGGTATAGCAGTCAAAACTGGGGGAGCAGCTTTCAGAATGAGTGACTACACAGCCGTCCGCAAGGTACCCACTACGGAACAGTCGAGTACTTTCTTGACCTGAAGTGGGATTTTTAGTTTTTCGATAAATACTTCAATGGAATTGTCGGCAGGGACATGGTTTCTTTCAAGCCGTTCTATATCGCTGATCCCAGCCACGATTACATTCAAACAGATTTATTTTCCGTCACCGCAAACTCCGATTACTCGGCTTTTCTTATTAGTAGCAATGGCGGTTCTTCCGGTGAGAATCATGTTAATCTTATTATAGGCATAGTTCACGATAATTCCGAGTTATCTGTTTTGAGTGAAATTATGGATGTCATGGTGCAAGGGTGGCAAGAAAGCACGAAATTTGTTGAAAGTTGAAAAATAGAGAACTCCATAAATGTATCAAGAAAGGGGTTTACGAGGTGACTGTCTGCGTGTCTCTGGGTCCGGGAACTTCTCCCCTAACACGGCGTTGCACACGCCGCACCCGCCGCCTATCGCAGGATTGCGATGAAAGGTTGGAGCGCGCAATTTGTGAAGTAAGGAGTCCTTTAATCATTTGAATTGGCTGGTCGCTCCCTTCAATTTCAATGCGGTATTGATCGTCGTTTATATGAGAGGAGTCATTTTGATTAATCAAGTCTAA